CATCTATGGATGAATGCATAAAGAAAATATCGTGTATATAAATAATGGAATACTATTTGGCCTTAAAAAAGGAAATCCTACTATTTGTGACAATGGGATGAATCTAGAGAACATTATGCTAAGTAAATTGCAGGGGCAGAAAGACAAGGACAGAAAGACAAATACTGTATGATCTCATTTATATGTGGACTCTAAAAAAATGAGCAAAAGACATGAACATAAACTTTTCTAACAAAGACAGACTAATGCCAAAAAATACATGGAAAAATGCTCATCATGTCTAATCATCAGTGAGATACAAATCAGAAATACAGTGAAATATCACTAACTCCAGTTATTAATGGCTCACATCATAAAGTTTCAAAGCAACAGATGATGGCGTGGATGAGGAGAGAAAGGAGCTCTTATATGCTGTTAATGGGATGCAAACTAGTATATCCTCTATGGAAAATTGTACAAAGATACCTCATAGAATGTGTAGAAGGCCTACCGTTTGATCCAGCAATCCAAATGCTGGGTATATACCCAAAGGAGAAAAGATCATTTTATAAAAGGGACATCTGCACTCAAATGTTTATAGCAGCACAATTCACAGTTACAAAGATGTGGAAACAACACAAATGCCCACCAATACATAAATGAATTGATAAAATGTGGTATGTGCATACCATGGAGTACTAGTAATCTCTTATGACAACTTGGATGGAATTGGAGACCATTCTCAGTGAAACATCACAAGAATTGAAAAACAAATACATATGTTCAATGTAAAATTGGAATTGATCAATCAATACTTAAGTGCACATATGGAAGTAAATCTCAATGAAAATCATGCTGGGGGAGGGCGAAGAAGGGGACGGGTAAGTTCACAACTATTGGGTACATTGCACATTATCTGGGTGAAGATCACACTTACAACTTTGATTCAATCTGTACAAAAACAAAAAACGAAGTATGTAAACAAAACACATATCTCCCCTTATCCCCTAATATTTTGGGAAAAAAGTTGAACTCATAGGAGAGAGCAGAATGTGATTTCCGGAGGCTTGGGGAGGGAGTGGATGGGGGAAAAGATATGATCAAAGATAGAAATTTTCCGTTAGACAAAAGAAATAAGCTTTAGTGATTAATTACACAGAATGGTGACTATAATAAACAATAATGCATTGTAAATTTCTGAAAAAGAAGGTATTGAATGTTTTCACCACAGAAACATAGTAAGTATGTAAAATGTGAGATTATGAATTTTATTAATTACCCTGAGTTAATATTCCACATTTTAAATATATATCAAAACATCACACTGTACCTCATAAATATATACAATTATTATCAATTATTATTTGTGAATTAAAAATAAAATTCATAAAATAATGGACAGGAGGAAATAACTTTCAAGATCTATTGTACAGAAGAGTAACTATAGTCAATAATGATGTACTGTATACTTCTAAATAACTAAATTTCAAACATCTCCTTACACACATTGATAAATAAGTTAGGTAATGAATATTTTAATCAAATTAGTTTAACCACTTTACATTGTATGCATATATCAAATCATAACATTATATCCCATAAATGAATGTGATTATAACTTTTGATTACAAATTATCTTAGTAGCAATTATTTAAAATAAATAAATACAATGAAATTGCCAAGGAAGAAAAGAAATGGAATAGAGTATTACTAGGAATAAGTAAAAAAA